AAAAACAAAATGGGCTGGAGATGCAGCTCAGAGCATTCCTGGGTTCAATCCCTAGTACCAAAGGGATTGCTAACAAAGGGAGGACTGGCTTTCCTGCAGCAGCCCACACACAAGTGTGAGTTTACGACCCGTCTGCTGAGCACCATGGGATACAGAGGGAAATACCAAGTCTGAAGAGAAGAGCAATTTTCACATGAGAAATAAACTGGGCTTCAGAAAGAGAGGTTTTGGGCCAGTGATGCTGGAAGCAACAGGAAGGTGAGCTGGTCTCACTCACCTGATGTCACACACGGGCGGCCGCAGGTCCAGGGGGCCATGTGCAAAAGCACAGTGTAGCCCGTTTTTCACACAGTGGCCGCGCGCGTCCGTCTCGTGGATACATGTGCCCGTCTTGTAGTAGCGCAGGTGGTACTTGCGTTCTGTGTCCCCAGTTGTTCTGTGCAGGTAGGGACACCTGGAAGCAGAGGGGCAAGCACTCCGTGTGGCTCCTGTGGGCTGGAGACAACCTGAGCCTCGCTGCCACCTTGTTCAACACCTGGGAGCAGCTGACTCCGTTCTCCAGGCAGACATCTGGTCTGACTGCAAGGAGCTGTGTTCTGGAATGAGCACCTGCTTTCCTATTTTGGGATCCTTCCCTTCAGCACTCCCTTGTGGCAAAACCCTCGGTTATGCACAGAAGACCAAGTTGAATTTCCATGAAAATCATCCTTCTTAGTTTTTTTTTTTTTTTTTTTTTTTGTACTGGGGATTGAACTCAGGGGCACTCGACCACTGAACCACATCCCCAGCCCTATTTTGTATTTTCTTTAGAGACAGGGTCTCACTGACTTGCTTACCGCCTCGCCATTGCTGAGGCTGATTCTGAACTCTCTATCCTCCTGCCTCAGCCTCCCGAGCTGATGGGATGACAGGCATGTGCCACCACGCCTGGCTCCTTCTTAGCTTTTAGATGAATTCTTTACATTTGAGTTTGCACCTTGCACTCAGGTCATGTCATTTCCCTGACCAGTCATACTGAGAATGGCGGTGGCCTCTGTGTCCCAGCTCCTGTGCCTTTGGGACTCCAAGATGGAGAGGGGGAAGGGGCCTAGGGAGAACACAGGGCCCAGCACATGGCAGGGAAGAGGCTCCTTGGGAGCCAGGCTGGGAGAGAAGCAGGGGAGTGCAGATGGGGTGATGCCATACATCCCTCATGGCCACACAGCAGGTCTGGGACTACATGCACCAGGCAGCTCCTGCAGCAGGACAGGGTGTGGGAATGGGATTCACACTGAAGGGGTGGAGCAGGAGCAGAGATGATCTGGAAGGTTCCAGCATTTGTGACGCACAGGAGCTTTGGGCACCTCCAGGTTGGTCCCACCAGAACAGCTTTGCAAACAGGAGAGGAGAGGGCACATGCAAAGAACCTGCTTCCCTCCCAGCCTGGCTCTCGCGGGGCCTTCCCTGACATGACTAGGCCCTGTGCTTCTCCCTGAGGAGCAAGGCAGAGAAAGCAGGGGTCCTCATCACAAGCACCCAAATTTAAGGACAAGGATCTTCACCTCTCACTATTGTCCATGTCTACCTTGCCAAGGACAGAGCTGCAGGCCTGAGTGTGGCTGGGGACACCTGGTCTAACCCTCTATGCTACAGGATGAGAAATGGCAGCTTGGCGTTCATGTGCTGCTGCAGGCCCAGGGTGGGGGGCGGCCAGCCCTGCTGTGCTGATGGCAGCAGGCCAGGCACAGCATCAGCCTGCGGTGTGAGCTGGCACCACACCAGCCACACCCCTTCCAGGTTCTCATAGGTCACTGCTCAGGGCACTGTTTCTGCACCACACCATTGCTATGGCAACCACAGCACTGGCTGAGGCCTCCCCTCCCCAGCACAGAGGGGCTCCCACTACCTGGCACTACCCTCTGCTGGGCCAGCACCTCCGTTTCTTGCACCACTTCAAAGCTTGAGCTGACCTTAAGGGTTGTTTTGTTTTTTTTTTTGGTTTTGGTACTGGAGATTAAATCCAGGAGTGCTCCACCTCTGAACTACATATTGAAACAAGGTGCTGCTGAATTGCCAAGGCTGGCCTCAAATTTGAGTCCTCCTGCCTCAACCTCCCAAGTTGCTGGGATACAGGCCTGTGCTACTTTGCCTAACTTGACCTTAAGCTTATTTATTTATTTATTTATTTTAAGTGGTTTTACTTATTTATTTTTGTGGTGCTGGGGACTGAACCCAGGTCCTTGTGTATATGAGACAAGCATTCTACCAATTGAGCTGTATCCCCATCTGACCTTTAATGTAAAGAAAATACCTTGGCCCCAGGGATATCTAAGAAGCAAGAAGGGGGTTGGGGCTGAGGGGGCTGGGGCTGGGGCGGCTTAGTGGCAGTGCACTTGCCTAGCATGTGTGAGGCATTGGGTTCGATCCTCAGCACCACATAAATAATAAAGGTCCACTGACACCTAAAAAATATTAAAAAGCAACAACATAAAAAAGATGGCAGAGTGGCCCCCTGCTCCCTGGACAACCAGGGAGGAGAAGGAGGGAGCCCCTTGTGTCCTGGTGACAGGTGTGATCTCAATCCCACTCAAAACTGACCAGACTGTGGTTAAAACAGCTGCTGATGTCATGGCACTGTGGTGCCACCAGACATAGCTCAGCCACCGTGCTCTGGACCATGATCCAGCTCAAGAGGAACAGGGACTCCAGCCAAGTCTCCAGGAGCACAGCCCACTTCCTTCAAAAAACTCTCACGTAGAACAAGGGTGGGTTCCCGGACCCACCCAGCGAGTCTGATCAAGTACAGGGAGGCTTCAGCTCAAGCCAGTGTGCGCCACACTCCCCAGAGGGCCTGCCCATCAGAACTTCCCAGGAACTGCACTTGAGAGCCACCGGGCTTTGAGGGACCCGGTGAAGTACGGTGCCCCAGCCTTTAGGAGCACAAGCACAGCTGGCAGCAAAAACACAGCACAGCAACACCAAGGGGCAGTGGCAAGAAAAGCAGAGGCACAGAGAGGAGGAGGAATGGCCTCCCAGCAGCTGCCGAAGGCAAGCCTTGGGAGAGCTGGGGGCATCTCAGACCTGCTCCTGCCCTTCCTCTCGAACGCTGGGCAACAGGGTCCTGGGATAAGCCCATGCCCCACACTCCCCCAGCCTCTGGCTTCCAGGGGCTGCTCTTCTCAGTGGGTCAGGGACCCCTCACCAGCCACAGCCCTGCAGCAAGCCCACCTTTGCCCCAGATCCCACAGATCTGATTAGGGAAGGAGGTCCCCCCCACCCCTCACATTCTTGTGTGGGTTCTTTGGATCTAGGAACCCAATTAAAATAAGAGCCGATTAACCAGAGAAAAGCATATGAGTTTTATTAATGTGTACACGGGATCTTCACAAGAGAGGCTAGTCTGAAGAAATGGCCAGAACACATGCTTCTGCATTTTTCAGACAGAAAATGCATGATGGAGGAAAGAGAGCACAATGGGTCTCTGAATGGGGTGGGAAAACTCTAGGGATGCTACTGAGGGACACAGGGAATGGAAGCTCCTAGAAGGTGGGGGCTGCTTTGAGCGTGTTTATTCAGGACCATCAAAGCAGGACCCTGACCTTTGGTCTCCAGTGCTCAAGGCAATTTTCTGGCTTTGGCATGAGAAGGACACCCCTTACCAGCATGTCTTTATGGCAGTGCAGGTAGGAAAGACAGTCCTAACAGTCTTTTCTGGTCACTGTGGCTCAAGAGGCTTTAGCTCCAATCAACCAACCTAACATCAACTGGGCATGTCCTGAGATACCACCTTACCTCCCCAGCACCCTCTCTGCACCTGCCATGCTGAGCCCCAGCTTCCTCCAGCTCTGCTCCACCCAGGGTGGGAGGAACTGGAGCACTGTCACTCAGAGGCTCCACACTTCAGCCTCAGGAGCTTTATTACAGATCCCAGCTAAGGTGGCTCCTTGTAATTCCCTTAAGCCAAAGAACTGTTTCTTCTCTTAAACATTACATTTATGGTTGGGCCTGCCCTTGGCTTCCTCATTTACGCAACCATGGCTCATAGTCACCTGCAGGGCATGCAGCTCTCATCTAAGCCTCAGGTCCTGTGACTTGTCACAGGAAACACCACAAAAAGGTCTCTCCATAGAAACACTAGGTGCAAGACAAGTATGGTACGAGCCCCAATAGTAGGTCTTTCTTAGAAACTCAGAAAGTAGCAAGGACCTCCCACCAGTTCCTGTAAAATTACACCTGGGAATTCCAGTCTACTCAGAGCCAAGGCTCACCTAGACAAGGCACCCCTGTTCCAGATCCCCAAATGTCAAACCAGGGGAGCCTGGGAAGGGCTACACTGCAGGGCGAGTGAGAAGAGGAGGCCACTCCACTGCAGGGGCCCCCAAACAGGAGGCAGACCTGCATGCCAACAGCAAAAGTTGAGCCCCTCTGGTTGGTTGAGCCCAATTTTTATTGAAAACAGGAAAAACTGAAGGTGGTCTAGTGGTCCACCCCCTAGGGACAATGGCAAGAGAAAGGCTAACAAAAGGAAGAGGGTTACTTTGTACCTTGCAATAGCTGGGGACTATCTGAGTTTTTTCAAACTACAATGGATCTCTGGAGAAGCCCCTCAGTTCCTTTGCTAATTATATAGATCAGAACCAAAAATTATTCAAAAGCAAAAAACAAAGCTGGGACTGTGGCTCAGTGGTAGAGCACTTGCCTAGCATGCATGAAGCACTGGGTTCAATCCTCAGCACCACATAAAAATAAACAAATAAAATAAAGGCATTCTGTCCATCTACAATTACAAAAAAAAAAAAAATTAAATAGATAAAAAAGCAAAAAGCAAAAAAGGCCAGGAATGGTAGCACTGCCCTTTAATATCAGTGAGTTGGAAGGCTGAAGCAGGAAAATGGCAAGTTCCACGAAGCCAGTGGTGGCAACTTGGTGAGACCCTGTGTTAAAAAATAAAAAGGACTGGGGATAGCTGGGCACTGTGGCACACACCTGTAACCCCAGCACCTGGAGAGGCTGAGACAGGAGGATCATGAGTTCAAAGCCAGCCTCAGCAACTTTGCAAGGCACTTATCAACTCAGCGAGAAGCTGTCTCTAATAAAATATTTTAAAAGAGCAAGGGATGTGGCTAAGTGGTAGAGAGCTTGCCTAGCATGCACGAGGCACTGGGTTCTATCCCAGCGCCACATACAAAAATTAAATAAACAAAATAAAGGTATTGTATCCATATACAAGTAAAAATATATTTAAAAAAAAAAAAAAAGGACTAGGGATGTGGCTCAGTGGTAGAATGTGGTTCAATCTTCAGTATGGTAAAAAATAAAAAATGCACCCTCCATTCACCGAAGCGTGTGCACGTATTCTCGTGCAGGTAGGAGGTGCCAACCACCGTGGGCTCGAGTGTGAAAACCCGCGTGCGGAATAGAAGCAGCTTGGGACTGGGGGCCAGACGCCCGGGCCAAGGCCCTTTCTCGGAAAGCAGCTTGCCGGCTGTATCTGTGGCCAGACCCCAGAAACCTCCGCAAAAGAGGCGTTTTCCTTATAGTCCGCGCAACACCTGGGGCGCGCGGTGGGAACGCAGACCCCTCGCCAGAACTCGCGCCCCACACGGTTCCTGGCCCCACAGCCTACGCGGTCCTCGCGCCACTGGGAGGCTGGTTCCCACGGGGGTGGGGCGTCAGTACATGTGACCCGGGACGGCCAACCATGGCCCGCGCAGGGAAAGGGGCGTGTCCGCCAGAACAAAGGGCACGTAGACCTTTCAGAGGGGCTGCAGGGTCAAAAGCAGGCTGGTGCTGGGGTGGCGACTGTGGGAGAGCCCAAGGGTGGCCCCTATGAAGAGGGTCGTGAGAAGAGAGGCGACAATAAGGGAGTGACTGGTGACAGCAGGAGTGACGGAGGTGGGTGCCCACGAGGGGTATGTGGAAGGACACTCCAGGCACCATGGAGGGATGACAGGGAGGAGTAAAAGAGGGTGACCACTGAGAAAAGGGGGTGATGGTGGAGGTGATGGTGGGAGTGCCAAAAGAGGAGGGATAACTGAGAAGTGACAGCAGAACTGCCAATCAAGTGACAGCTGGAGTGCCAGCCCTCCTGGGGTTCCCATCCCTCTCTTGCCCCAAGGTGTGCTCAGACAGTGTCAAGAACACTTACTTTGCCTGACACGAGCTGAGGGGTCTTTGCTTTTTGATGCATATTCATGTTTTTAAAATAATAGGTTGGGTGGGGCACAGTGTCGGAGCACTTGTAATCCCAGCGACTCAAGAGGCAGGATGATCAAAAGTTCGAGGCCAGCCTCAGCAACCTAGCAGGACCCTCGGCAACTTGGCAAGATCCTGTCTCAAAATAAAAAATGAGAAACAGCTGGGGATGTAGTTCAGTGGTAAAGTGCCCCTGAGTTCAGTCCCCAGTACTGAAAAAAGTAATAGGTTAGTAATACATATGCCCAAGATAGAAATTTCAAGAACTAATGATCTGAAATAAAAGAAAAGCCCCATCCTTTCTCTGAAAGGTACTATCTATTTACAATTTCCATGGCAACCTTGTGAAACCAGAATATGTAATTCAGTGAGATAAACTGTCAATTCCATGTGTGCAGGGATGAGAAAGTCCCTCTGCTGTGGATGGAGCAGTAATTACTAAGGAGAGAGTCCCAGGGGAGGCAGCCTGTCAAACACTCTGGAAGGGATAAAGCAAGTCATTTCATGTACTCAACAAAAATTAGAAACAAAACCTTTAATAAAACACACAGAATGCATCCAACACATCAAACCAGCATCCTAGTCCCACTTCTGTGTCTCAGTGATAAACTTCAAGCCATTTCAGCTGAATATTGATGCATCTGCAATAAGTGCATGTCATCAAATTACTTATTGAGCACAGCTAATGTTGACAACTTCTTAACAGGTGTCCACTGTAGCACTGTTCATTCCAGTAAGAACTAGACACCACCCAAATGCCCAGAAAAAGACTGAATTAACACTAAGATATCCAAGATCTGGAACCCAAAACTGCTGGTAAAAGGGCACTCTGGGATGGGGATGTAACTCAGTAATACAGCACCTGCCTAGTGTGCACAAGTACCTCAGTAGCGCACACATACCACACATACATATACACACAAAGGGGGGGCTTTTTTACATTAAAACCATCACCAGGAAATAAAACCAAAGAGTTCCCATGCCTGATTCTTGGATGGAGTCAGACAAGCCAGGTACTGACCTGGTCTTGCACTCCAGTAGATACCAGCTCCAGGCTCAGGCACTAGCGCCCAAGGAGACCAGGAGAGCTGGGCAATTAGAAACTGAGCCTAGGCCTTAGACAGAAAATCACCTATTTTCTAAAGGCATATTTGCAGGAAGCAGCTGCTCAAAAAGCAATTAAATAAAACAGTTCTAGGAGAACACCATCTAAACTAGGTGGAGCCAGATACTCTAGCAGGTTAACAGCAACTGTTTAATGACCTGGTGTTCCACGAAAAACCATTCAGCCAGTGTAAAGAATTTATGAGGGCTGGGATGTGGCTCAGTGGTGGAGCACTTGCCTGGCATGTGTGAGGCACTGGGTTTGATCCTCAGCTTCACATTAAATGAATAAATAAATGGTATTGTATCCATCTACAACTAAAAATATTTTTTAAAAAAAGTTTATGAGGGCTGGGGATATAGCTCAGTTGGTGGAGTGCTTGCCTCGCATGCACAAGGCCCTGGGTTCAATCCCCAGCACCACACACACACACACAAAAAAAAAACAGTTTATGAGATGATCACCATAGATCAAGTTTACTCTCTAGGTGGGTGAGGGGGCACACACCTGTAATCCCAGCAGAGGGAGGCAGGAGGATTGAAGGTTAGAGGCCAGCCTCAGCAATTTAGTGAGACCCTACCTCAAAATAAAAATAAAAAAATAAATAAGGCTAGGGATGTACCTCAGTGGTAAAGTGCCCCTGGGTTCAATCCCCAGTTAATTTTTTTTTTTTAACTTCCTGAAGCCTGGTGCTGTAGTACACACCTTAATCCCAGCAATTCAGAAGGCTGAGGCAGGATGATTCTGGGGTCTGGAAATGTGGTTCAGTGGTAGAATGCCTAATGTGAGACCCTGGGTTAGTTCCCCAGCACTTGGCGGGGGCAGGGAGTGTTCCTGGGCAGCTTAGCCAGATCCTGTCTCAAAATAAAATTTTAAGAAAGGGTTTGCCTAGCATGTGCAAGGCCCTGGGTTCAAGTCCCAGTATAATGCACACTGAAGTTTACTTTCTAGTCACTGGAAGTAACTTTTTTTTTTTTTTAAATAAAGGGAAACAGATCACACATGGGTCTCTGTGTTGTACCATGAGAGCTATCATCAAAAGAGGGGCACCCCCAAAATCAAAACCCTTCAAAGGGTCAGGAGATGCAGTCTTCAAGACTGACTGTCACCTCACCTCCAGGCAGGAATAGGCCACCCCTTGCCTTCCCCAAACAAAAAAAGACCACACCTTCTAATACCACCTTGAACCCTCATGGGAACATACCACCTGGCTTGGACTTTCCCTATTTCAAAATAAAGACATCTGTTAATAACACCATTAGAAAAGGCATTAAAAAAATCAATCCAAACAAACCCTGATTTCTTTAACTTTCAAACTGTTACATAAACAACAGTCTGCAAATAAAATAATTTCCTATTAACTGTTTATTTTATTATTTTTTTTAAATGTGAGGGAGCCCTTCAACACTTTGCATGATTCCATGACCACTTTGAAATCTTTCAGTTTTTGAAATATGTAATATGAAATTCTTTTTTTTCAAAGAGAGAGAGAGAGAGAATTTTTTTTAATATTTATTTTTTAGTTCTCGGCGGACACAACATCTTTGTTTGCATGTGGTGCTGAGGATCGAACCCGGGCCGCACGCATGCCAGGCGAGCGCGCTACCGCTTGAGCCACATCTCCAGCCCCTCCTATTAACTTTTTAAAAATTAAAGTACCCATGTAACCATGTGATACAAGCCTGTATCCTAAGGACTCAAGAGGCTGAGGCAGGAGGATCCCAAATTGGAGGGCAGCCTCAGCAACTAGGTGAGACCCAGCCTCAAAATAAAATAAAAAGGTCTGGGGAGGTAGCTCAGTGATAGAGCACCTGGGTTCAATCCTTAACACCATTCAGGCACATACAAAAACTAAGCATGTAAAAGGTAAGAAAGGAAACATTCCCACAACTTCTATAGTGTGAGCAAACATTCTGACACACTCTGACCTAAAGCAACTACTCAAAATGATCCTAAACCTCAAAGCCACATCTACTGTGGGGTGATCCTAAGGAAGGAATGTGGAGAATGGGGAGGAAATCAAGAAGGAGAAGTGAAGCGGATTCAGTTTGAACTACATGAGTCATATCTAAAATGCGCAGGATGCCTCCCCAACTGACCCAAACCCACCCCAACACTGGAAGACTTCAGGGTAAACTCCTCCAACAGGTACCAGGCGCTGAACAGAACCTGGGTGCCTGCTGACAGCACGCCCAGGCCATGTCCAGGCCCACAGTGCCCACGCGGGCCCACTTACTCGTCGCCGTCGGGGCACAGGCCGGTGGCCTCGTCGTACTTGGAGCAGTACACATCAGGGCTGTAGTTGAAGGTGCCATCGCGCCTGCGGAGGGGTCTGCGCCGACGCTGATTTAGGAAATGCCAATGGAAACAGGTGAACGGCCTGTGCTGGCCACACTTGTGCTGTACAAACAGGGAGCACTGCTCCGTCCTAAACTCCTTTAGATACCTGGAAAGACAAACAGCGTTGCGGTCGCCGGTGGGCGGCCCCACGGACTCGTGGACAGGGGCAGGTTCCTTGCCTGGTTGGGGGGTGGTGCCACGACCCTCACTGGGCGCCCAGATCCCCACCACCTCTCAGAGCTCAGATGATCCCAGGCGGCCCAACCCGCCTGGGCGCGAACTCTCCGACCCCAGGCACGACTCGCAGATGCAACAGAGAGGATCCCCGCAACCCCATCCAGCTGGGTTCTGAACCCGAGGTGCAGTGGTCCATCCCAGTCACAACACGCCCCAAACCCATCCCCCCCCCAGGCCTATATGACTCCAGGTGACTGAACACCCGGGGGGCGTTCCCGGGCCCCAGGCGGCAGCTCCCAAACCCCAAACGCGGTTCCCGAATCCAGGCGCAAAGCCCCTGTCTCGTAGCCCAGCTGACCCCAGAGAAGCGTACCCTAGCCCCGCCTGGGAAGGTTCTCCAGTCCCAGGCACGGTCCCCAGAACACAGGCGCGACTTCCCATACCCACACACAGTCAGTCCTCCATCCTCAACCCTAGGCACGCCTCCCCGTTCAGATTCCAGATGGCCCCCAGGCGCTACTCCCCAGACACCAGGCGCAGCTGCCCATCACTAGTGCAGACGCGACCCTCAGCCTTAGGTGCTGCACAGCGATCTCAGAGCCGAGATGCCCACTGCGACCCCAGGCGCGGCCTTCCGCCCACAATCCAGGGACCACCCCAAATCCTGGGCGCCGCCTCTCGATTTCAGTCAGCGGCAGCCTGTGTGCAGACAGTCGTGCGCCCATCCAGAGCCCTGGAGCGCCTCAGCACCCTAACCCAGGCCCTATTCCTCGATCCCCAGCCAGCGACGCGTGGACCCCGAGCGCAGGCGCGCGCCCCCGCCCCGGCCAGGGACCACCCCAGGCCCCGGGCGCCGCCTCTCCCCTCGGGCGCCGGCGCTCGCGTGTGGACTGCCGCAACCCCTTAGTCCAGTGCCGCCGGCCAGGCGGCGGGGGCGCGGGCGGCGGGCGCACCTCGGTGGCGACACCCAGGCCCGGCCCGGCGCGCGCGGACCGCTCCCTGCGCCTCGGCGGCGCGCCAGCATCCAGGCGGCGCGGGCGGGGGCCTGGGCACTGACCTGTAGTGGGTCGGCTTCTCGGTCTGCGGGGGGGACCCGCTCAGCGCCGCCGCCGCCGCCGCTTTCGAAACCGACGGCATTTTCAGTCAAAACAATGCAGAGCGCATGCGCCGCGCCGGCGCCCCCGCCCCCGGATCTCCCCCCGCACTGAGCCCCCAGCGCCCCCCGCTGTGCCGGCCCCGCCCAGGCCCCGCCCCGGTCCGCCCGCAGCGGGTCGCGCCCCAGCACACCGACCCCCGCACACGCACGCGGCTGTGGCGGTACCTCAGGTCTCGCCGTCGGTCGGGGCAGGTCCGGGGCTTGGCTGGGGCGCCCGGGGAGCTATGGGGACGCGGGGACTGCTCGCGGACCTGGCTCCTTTTAGCAGGAAAAGGTTTAAAACCACAGCGTATCGCTTCTCGGCCTTTTGGCTAAGAAGTGTAAAACCACAGCGTGGCGATGGTCGCCCCTGCGACATACTGGAGATTTTGGAATTGTGTACTTTAAATGGATGAACTGAATCATACATGAATTACATCTCAGTAGAGCTGCTTCCTAAAACAGGAATGCAAGAAGCTGGCAATCAAGGGGCAGATGCGCACAGGATGAGCAGGGATGCATCGGCGGCGGGTCGGCGGGCCCAGGTGGGAGCGTTCAGGAGGGAGAGCCCAGGGTTGCGATGCATTGATTCGTAAATACACGTCGTGAGACATTTTATATGCAAGATAAAACAAGGAAGCACCCTTGGCAGGTGGGTCGCTTGGGTTTCTTACTGAACAGCAAACTCTACGCTGGCGACTTCTCCAGAAAGGAAATAGCTCGAGGGCAAAGGGTCCTGACCCTCTGGAAACTTATGTACTCCATTTCTGGGAACAGTGATCTAAGTGTAAACAACATCAGAATCAGATACCGAATAACACACAAATATAATTTGTCCAAGTACGTAAGTTATTTTTTGAAATGCTAATAACACAGTAAATTAAAATTTATCACTTGCTGGTAACTTTTTTCTTTTGGTACCAGGTATGGAACTCAGGCACTGAACCACTCAGCCACATCCCCAGCCCTATTTTGTATTTTATTTAAAGCTGCTTAGTGGGGCTGGGGATGTGGCTCAAGCGGTAGCGCGCTGGTGTGGCATGCGTGCGGCCGGGGTTCCATCCTCCTCCTCCGTACCACATACAAACAAAGATGTTGTGTCCGCCGAGAACTAAAAAATAAAAATATTAAAATTCTCTCTCTCTCTCTCTTTCTAAAAAATAAAAAAATAAAAGTTGCTTAGTTCCTCACTGTTGCTGAGGCTGGTTCTGAACTTGCGATCCTCCTGGTTCTGAACTTGCCATCCAGCCTTCCAGGTCGTTGGGATTACAGGTGTGTGCCACTGCACCGGGCAATATCTTTTTTTTTTTTTTTTAATATTTATTTTTGGGCTGGGGATGTGGCTCAAGCGGTAGCGCGCCGCCTGGCATGCTTCCGGCCGGGGTTCGATCCTCAGCACCACATACAAACAAAGATGTTGTGTCCGCCGAAAACTAAAAATAAATAAATAAATAAATATTAAAAATTCTCTCTCTCTCTCTCTCAAAAAAAAAATGCTTTAATATTTATTTTTATGTGGTGCTGAGGATTGAACCCAGTGCTTCATGCATGCTAGATGAGTACTCTACCACTGGGCCACAAACTCAGACCAAGAAAACTTTTTTATATGTTCACTTTTCTAAATGAATTATTACCTCTACAAACTTTACATATAAAGTTTAATCTTGAATGAAATTAAGTGGTTTAAAAAAATCAAGAACACATGTTAAAAGCAAATCAAGGCAGGTACGGTGGCGCTTGCCTGTAATCCGAGAGTCTTAGAACATCAGCAGTTTCGTGAGGCCCTGCCTCTAAATAAAAATATTTAAAAAGGGCTGGGGATGTGGCTTAGTGGTAAGTGCCCCTGGTTTCAATCCTCAGTACAAAATAAATAAATAAATAAATAAGTCAAGCAGAATGAAGCAGGAAGGCAAGGCCCAAGGATTCCTCAGAGGAATAAACGTCTTGCAGTTTGTGAACATGCACAGATGAAAATATATGGGGTAACTCTAAGCCCTCAAACTTAGGGGCAACACCTGAGGAGCCTAGGAAGGTAAACTAAGAAGCACACACACAGCCAGAAAAAGGAACTTTGTTGAATGAAGGTCCCTCCTGGAGAAGATATCTTCCTCAAAGACATCAAAGAAAATTGATATGCTACAACACCAAAAGTATTTCCCATGCTTTTGAAGAATATTCTTTAAAATCTGGGATGGTGACATATTTACACATAAAGTAACACTAGGGTTTTCTGAGACAGAATCTTGCTAAATTACTGAGGCTGGACTTGCAATTCTCCTGCCTCAGCCTCTGGAGTTTCTGGGATTACAGATGTGCATCACCATGCCCAGCCACCAGGGTTTTATTGTGAATGTAGTATCCCCTTTTTTTTGCGGTGGGGAGGGGAGCAAATGCACAGCACTACCAGGATTTTCCAACATTGCTTATTGCTTAGCAGCTTACACGAAGTGGCCATTTAGTCAACCTCCTCTCCCTTGAAAATAAAACTTTTTCCAGGAATGGGAATTGAACCCAAGGTCCTCTGCATACAAGGCAAGTACTCCCACTACTGAGCTACAGTCCCAGCCATTTCTTTTTCTTTCTTTCTTTATTTCACATTTATAGGACAATTTTTTATTACTTTATTTTTATGTGGTGCCAAGGATCGAACCCAGTGCCTCATGCATGCCAGGTAAGCACGCTACCACTTGAGCCACATCTCCAGCCTCCCAGCCCTTTCTTTCTTAGACAGTTTCCTCCTCCTTCTGCCCTGCAGCTCAGTTTACACATCCCTGATGTTGCCTCTGTTCTATGGTGCTCTTCCTTGCAGATGCTCACTGGGCACTCACCTGGGGATGCCAACCTGCCAGCACTCTTCCTGAAGGTTGGCATCCAGGCCAGGAGGGCAAGGAATAAGGGAATAAGACAAGCACTCTACAAAAAATAGTTAAATAAAAGATTTAACTAGCTGTGCATCCATTACCCTACTCAGTTGTCACCCCTTGGAAACTTCAGGTGTGTCCACTGTCCCTGCCTGGTCAAGGGATCCTCCTTTACTCATGACACCCTCCTTTACTCATGACACCCTAGTGTCATAAGTAAAGGAGGATCCCTTGACCAGTGTGAAGCCAACAGCCTGGATGCACTCAGGATGTGCTATATAGGGCGAGTGCTGTCATTAAAAACAATCCCACGTTGTTGGGCACAGTGGCACACACCTGTAATCCCAGCAGCTCTGGAGGCTGAGGCAGGAGGACCATGAGTTCAAAGCCAGCCTCAGCAAAACGGAGGCACTAAACAAGTCAGTGAGACCCTGTCTCTAAATAAAATACAAATTAGGGCTGGGGGTGTGGCTCAGTGGTCCAGTGCCAGAGTTCAATCCCCACTACAAAAAAAAAAAATCCCACAGGAGCTAGAGGTGCAGGTCAGTGTGGAAGAGCACTTGCCTGGCATGCTGAAGGCTGTGGGCTCCATTCCTAGCACTGTAAAACAAAACAAAACAAAACAAAAAAACAACCTGCTGTGTCTTTGAAAAACAATATTATAGTTACACAAAAAACTAAATGATGAGATATTCAAAGTGGTTACATCTGGTGCTTCTGGTTCTCTTTTGCTTACTATCTTTTCTAGAAAAGAATATATATTGCTTTGTTATATGGAAATTACTTTAAGCCAGGTGTGGTGGCACATATCTATAATCCCAGCTACACAGGAGGCTGAGGTAGGAGGATCCCAAGTTCAAGATCAGCTTGGGCAACTTAAAAAGGCCCTATTTCAAACTAAAACTAAAAAGTGCTGGAAGTGTAACTCAGTGGTATAGAGTGCTGGCCTGGCATGCACAAGGCCCTGGGTTCAATCCCCAGCACTACAAAACAAAAGATAAAAGCTTTTTGTTAACACAAAAGTTCTTAAAGATAGAGTGAAAGTAAGAGTTCTGGTTTAAATGACTGCTCTCAAACAAAATGCTCACATCCAAACAGGTTACAAACACCCCAAGGCAAAGAGAAAGCACCTTAGTTCTTTGCCCCCTCTAGGACCAGGCCAGGGGAGTTAAGCCTAGGTAGTCTTTCCTAGGCCTCAGGCTCAGTCCTTCAACAATGAGTATGCTGGTACACACCCCAGTTCCTGGTAGTCTCTGAAGGTGGCAGATCCTCAGCAACTTCTGCAAAGAGGTCCTTGTAAGAAGGTGTACACTGCTACACCTAGTGGCCCAAAACTTGTTTTTCAAACATGCATGGGGGGTGGGGGGAAAGGGCGGGGACAGTGGGGACAGTACCTTCAGCACCACAGAGGATAATAAAGCCTTCCAGCTGAAGTCCAAGTAAATGAAAGCTACTTTTTATATATTTTGTATTTAATTCAAATTAAGCAAGTTTGTTCTTAATAACACTTGGAAAACTATATCCAGGTAATCCAAAATAGTGATTGCAATTTGTGAAAATAAATACTTATTGGGCTGGGGCTGTAGCTCAGTGGTAGAGCACTTGCGTCCCATGTGTAAGGCCACTGGGTTCAATCCTTAGCCCATATAAAAATAAGCAAAGAGGGCTGAGGTTGTGGCTCAGTGGTGGAGCGCTTGCCTAGCATGTGTGAGGCACTGGGTTCAATCCTCAGCACTTCATAAAAATAATAAAATAAAAGTATTGTGTCCATTTACATCTAAAAAAAAAAAAAACTTTAAAAAGTGAAGACATTGTGTCCATCTACAACTAAAAGAAATACTTATTAGTTGTTTCCTACAACAGAAAGTTGTTGACGTGTTAAAAATAAAGTTCTGCACAGCCAGGGGCAGTAGTGCACGCCTGTAATCCCAGCAATTTCAGATGAAATTGTATCACAAGTTTGAGGCCAGCCTCGGCATTTGAGAGACTTGTCTCAAAATAAATGGATGGGGTCCTTGGGTTCAATCCCCAGCACCACAATGAACAAACAAACTACAGTTTTTAAAAAGGCGGTTGTTGGCCTACTAAAATACTTTTTCAATTAGATGTAACAAAAGGAAAAAAAACACCTGAATCGCCTT